TGAGAAAACATGCAATGACAAAAGTGAAAACCAGTGAAGAAATGGCTAGAGTTGCCAAGTTCCCCTTTAAATCAGTGTATGTGTGTAGACACAGGAGGATAGCAACAATTTCAAGTATGATCAGTTGAAAGGTGGAGTAAGAAATTCTGAAGCAGGGGCAGATCTTGAGGAGTAACACATTAATTTTGTTTAATTTGTAACAAGTTGAAGAAATGGAAATTAAGTTCAATGAAAAAAGACATGTATTTGAAAGATTTGGAAATAAAACAATCTATTGATTTTTACTGTACCTTGTAGATGTTTCTATTCAATGCTGTCTTATTGTGCCACAACAATGTAATATATTTGAGGTAAAATATCTTCATTTGGAGGATTGTCCAAGCAAATATTTATACATGTGATTGTTAGCGATTAAATCAGCATATATATATAAAATAGTCTGCAACCCTTGCCACCTGTTCTCGAGAAATCCAATACCATGACGAATACCATAATTAAAACAATAACACAGCAAAAGTTGCTGCTGCACAGCTAACATCACGACAACAGATATGCGTGGCAAACTAGAAAATAAGCTTAATGTCCATGGGCAAGTAATTTAACGTTACCTGACTAACAAATTGTGGCTGGAATAACAAGTTAGTGTTATGTGGCGGGATCGACTTTGTTTGTTTCCCATTTACAGAGACAGGGCTGTACAACCACCAGAATGTTTTTCATTGCATACGAAGGATTGAAAGCTAGCAAACCATGAGTAAATATTCGCTGAATTGGAAAAAAAGTATATTTAACATATATTGGATATAACCTGTAATTTAGCATATCTCCTTATCCAATATATGCATACAAAATATGCAGGGCCCACACTCCTTATAACAAGAATATGGTATTTAATCTGGTACATGTTTAAGTTGAGAGGAGACTGCAAACATGGTCAACACCATGACAGTATGAATCTTAAACTAGGGAGGAATATTGGGTACTCAGTTATGCTTCCAGTCTTCTAGTGTTTTCTTTGTACTGCCCAGCTGTTGCTGCTGACTGATGAATGGCTTCTCACACTTGTGTTTTCAGCAGGTGAAGCATCCAATGGCAGCTTGCCGGGTTAGTGAGAGTTTTTCCCAGCAGCCAAGAAACAGCACATACTGGAGATTTTTCTGTCTCGCACTTTCTCTAGCACTCCCTGTAGGTCACTTGGTCAGCCTATGGCAGTTTGCCAGTGGGCAAAGACTGAAAAGACTGAATAGCTTTTTGGCTTTGACCCTGCACCTTTTTGCTCATCTTTTGACAGAGTATGCGGTATTAAACTTCCATTCCAAGGAAGTGCTGCACAGTGGTTGGGTTTTAAGGTTAAGTTCCATTCTTGCTTAGATTGCTTGAGCTATAGAGAGAGACATTAGCCCTTATCGTAGATTTTTTGGACACCCAACCATTGGAGAACTTGTAGGGCACTTGGACTGAACAGAATCATACTTAGGCCATTAATGTGCTCCTCTGTAAAGGTTTGTGGATTAACCATGGATGTGTCTTATTTGGGCATAAATATATCTTAATTGAATAAGGGTTTTGATACTGCTTCAGAAAAATGGCCAATAAGCACTTTGCAACACCTTCTGGTGTTTCTGTAACAGATATTGGAGTGAGTTTAGACAAGGGTTACAACTGCAGTACACTGGGTCATATGCCAGCAGGTCACCTTCTAGTTACAATGGGCCGTCTGTACAGCAATGTTTATTCAAGTGGCTGGGCTTTAAATTTAACCATTAAACCCCCCCCCCCATTAGTTAACTGTATCATTGGTGGGATCCAAATAGGTTTAAGGCCACATTCAGAACGATTTCAGCCTTATGTGGAAAAAACTGCAATGTCACCCTACTTGAGCAACACAGCAAAGATGTGTAAGACTGAAAACCACACTGTGGTCAACTTCATTAAGCAGGAAGAGCTCCTTTCACTCCTTCCTTGCTTTCAGGCATAAAACCAAAATTTCTTTCTTTTTGGTAAGAATAGGGCTGGAGTGGCTGTCAGTCATGTGGTTTCTCAGATGCAAAGGGCCAACATGGTATATGAAATAAACCAGATGACATCAGTTCATCTTTGTCCAGTTTTTGGGGGCCTCTTTCAGATTAACAATATGACCGGCTAAACTAAAATTCCAAACCAATGGTGTATCATTTAGGCAGAGACAGGCAGTTTGATTTGATAGGAGGAACGGATTGTTCAAAAAATTGTGATGGCTGTATTGGTTGCCGTTTTTAGTTACGCCTACCAGTAAGGAGTGAGATCACCACTGAAAACACAATCTTCCAGGAAGCAAGTTTTCTATGAAGTCACAATTTTATGGTCCTTTAAAGGTTTCCATTGGCTCGCAGCCTGTTTTCCAAGAATTTCAATTCCCCATTTCAACGAGTCTTTGTTTCAGCCTATTAGCTCAAAAAGATATTTTGAGTAGTATATTAATGTCAAATTATTATATTTAAGTGTGGATCACACCTCTTACAATATATATAGTACAGTAGATAAAGTCTTCACATATATGTTATATGTGTTATCCTTTGCAACAACAGATGATCTCATTGTGGGAGGGGACAGATCACAAAAGGTTTCTAGGAAAAATGTAATGGCAGATTTGTGATAAGGAAACAATATGTGATTATGAGCCTTATTTAAGGAAAACCATCCAGGCTCAGCAGGAGTCTTTTCCCAGCAGACTGAATAGACAACTGCACCATGGACTAGGATTTAATTCAAGCTTTGGAGCTGGGCTCTGGATAAAATGTTGGGGGATCAACAGCCAAATCCAAACTGGACTAATTGAACACTAGAAACTCATTCATAACCATTTAAACTTAATTTAAACAATGTTTTTCTGTGGTTATACTTGTTTATAAACACAGAACTTGTCTTGTCCGTGCTTGATGATTTTATGTTTTTTACTTATTTTAAGCAACTGGGTGGTGGACACCTTGGAAGCTGTAAGTATCATTTTACTCTGCTTAACAGACCAGCATACATATTGATTATGTACTTGACTTGCTTCAGTTTACTGCATGGTTGAGTTGTCTGTGTTCATCCTATAATCTCTGAGTTAGGTTGAGCTCATGACTTTTGCACCGGCTCTTGGCTCTGTTTTCAGGCTTTAGAAAATCTAGCCCATTGACGGGAGACTTTGACCAAACCAACTCATTTTGCTGCCATCCAAGCTTTTGGGTTTGGTGGGAGGGGCTTATCAGAGGGATAGGAGACAGCAGGGGGAGAAAAGCGAAGGTTTTGCCTAGGTTTGCACAGATTAAGCCTATTGCAGCTTTACTATTTGAATAGTTGCTAATTTATTTGTATTGAGGTTAAGCCCTTGAACTTTTTATTTAATTTAAACATTATTTTACATTTTATCTGTGATTTGTATGTATTTCAGTAGGTAAATGTCTATATTATTCTCTTTTGGATAACACAAACAATGTGTTGTTGAGGCTGCTGATTTGGTGATTTGGTGGTTGTTGGTGGTTGTGATAAATTTAGCTCAAGTTCTTTAGCTAAACTCATGCTGAATAAATTATTATGCAAACGTGGTATATGTACTTTATGTTAGGTGTCAAGAGTCTGAGCTCTTCACCCCTGGCAAGGAAACCCCAAGCTTAGCACAGCAGGGAGGGGGGCGGGGTGATGATTACTTCCTCCCCCTGTAGACTCAGAGCCTACAGGTGTATG